TTGACCTGCAACATGTAACTCAAAAGCAGATGGCATTTTCATATTTAAACTGAGTCATTCCATCCTTCAGCAGGATCAAAGGCTTACAAAAGAGCTTAGGCTATCAGCTGCTACAAGACAAAACACCCTACAAGATCATTCTCCAGAACGCGAACAGCTGATGGCCTGGATAAAACCACTGCGCTTCTTTCAGGAGCAGTAACTTTACAACACTGTGTATCTCAAGGTGAGGCACTGTTTCTCCAGCCCCCTGCTGATTCTGTCCTTCAGAAGTGCCTCTTTCCCCCTCTCTCCACAAAAGAAAGGGAAGCTCTAGGCGTTCCTAAAGGCAAACTGCTGGGAACAAGGAATATGCTTAAACCTCAATTTATGTTGATCAGAACAAAAGAAACAAGCCCAAGTCCAAGGGTCTAAACAGGCAGAAAACATTTTGCATCATTAGTCAACAGAGCATATTGTGTACTCCCAGCTTTTAAGTTCCCAGCTTAAAAAGCTATTGAAACACATACAAGATCACTTTACCTTATCAAATGTCACAGTATTGAATGACGTTTACTTACTAGAGGAATACTCCACAAGTCTTGGAGTACAGATGGCTATCCAAACTACCAAAACTCAAGAAGAAACTCAGCAGGACTTAAAATACATTTTCTCTGCACAAAACTGTCCATTTCCCTTTCCAGTCTTTCCTGCTGTCAGATACTCACTTCCTCTCTAAGGTCTAGGACTCTCCCTACCATCCCAGTGTTCTCCAGAAAGTGATGAACTTTTACATCCACTGCTGCCATCCAAAACAGCTCAAAACTATGGCCTATGTCCTGCTGGCTATTTTACTCAGGCCTTGACAAAAAACAGAAAATGAAGTTAAAATGGTTCCCACCAACTCTTTTGACAGTACAAGCCAATAAAAATTCATCTAACCATGAATCACAGCTTCTGCCATGAAAGTTTAGAAATTAAAATTATTCCAGTCACATACATCGAAGTTCAATGTTGGAAAAAGCACACACATACACTTACTGTGGTAGCCCTTTATCATGTATGCAACACTGGACAATTTCAGTCTGAAATAACATCACTTCCACAGACATTACACACACAGGAAAACAAGAATCTCATGAAAACAAGTATCAATCATTAATACTTTATCCACTTCTAACACAGATTTGAATGACTGCCAAAGAGAAGGCAGAAGCATCTGTGGGGCTGCTGTATGTCAAAGTCCCACATAGAAAGATCATGTGTGCTGACATGAGAGTATGTTGCACCAGAGATGGGCTAGGGAGAGGACACTACCGTGAGGAAGAAAACACTTGGCTGAGCGAGTCACATTGAAACATCCCCATGCCCACACTGGTACAGGGATCATTTTTACTTCAGCATAACTTCACCGAGGGTCATATTGTCTTCTTTCATCACAATACCAAATATATTGTTTTCTAATATTTTATGAACTTCTAAAGGACAAAGATGTTAAGAATAACAAATCTTCTCTCTTTGCCTTGACAGTACACTCCTCGTGTAATTAGCTTTAGATGAGATGCTGAAGTCTGTTCTTTGGAACATGCATACCATTACATTATAAAGGAGAATTATGGTAAGAATTGGGTTGTACGAATTACTAGTACATTATTAGTGGAAAATAAAATAAAATAAAATAAAATAAAATAAAATAAAATAAAATAAAATAAAATAAAATAAAATAAAATAAATAAAACAAAACTTTTGGTACAAGTTGAATATATATTTATATTCTAAATTAGAACAAAACAGGTATTTCTTGGAGGTGACTTGAAAGCCAGAATTAGGATTTCAGTAAAATACTAAAATTTGTATTATTTGTTTTTCTACGAACATAATTTATATGTAATCTGAAACAGTTTTTCTTTTTTAAACAGAAAACCAGAATTATAAGAATGTACTTTATTTTTTAAGGTTATGCTAAGTTTTTAGTTCATGATCATGGTCTCTACCTTTCAGAGATGCAACAAAATGATAAGGCTTTTCTGAAAAAAATGCTTCTTGTTTGTAGTATAGCTTATTTTTACTTAAAACAGGAAAATAGAAAATTATATTTTTTTGTATTTTGAAGAAAAAAAATGTAAAAATTCGAAGATAAAGATAGGTGTTTCTCATCTGATATGAATATATATTTGTACCCAGTAATTAAATATGTGTTGGGTGAGTTTACTGTGTACTTTTTGAAAAACACAACAAAAAGAATAGGTGTTAATAAAACGTTCTGTGTAGGAAGGATTAGGATTTAGCTTTGATTTTATCGTGGACTTACATGGCTATGACATCAACAATTTTCAAAGTGCTTCTTTCATCAGCACAGAAACTGTGATCTTTGAAGCCAGGAAGCCCTTCCTTTAACCAAGGCCACCAATACTTTCCATTTTAAATTTTTCATGGGCACAGAGAAGAACGGGGAAATTACTGCAGACAGTTTTTTTAATGGGAAACAGTTGGAATTATTTTATCAGTAAGTAAAGTGATTCTAATAATACTTTTAAATCATTTTATAAAAATCTCAAGATTTTCAACTAAAGCTTGCAAAAAACATTTTAAAAATCAGTCTCATGGAAGTTATCTGAATCTAAGTTTCAGTTTAAGAGGAAGACATCTAAGTGCACAGCCTATGTGTAGCTGTTTAAAATGCATAAATTGTCAACACAGTCCAGAGAGCAATTCAGCAGAATGGTTATTATGTTCAGTAGCTGCCTATAATCAGGATTACAGAGTAATTAAGAGGCATGAGTGTATGCAAGTAGTGTCATTTGAGAGGTTCCCTAGGTATCCAAAACAGCTGCACATGACTGACAGATACAACAATGGTCCAACAGGAGTCTCCAACTCTATGTATGGCAGACAGAGACAACACTGAAGACCCTGAATTTTCTCATGCAGCCACAGATGCCTGTTGGCAGGCAATGTACTTGAGCCCCGGGACGCTGCAATGAGCAGAAGAACTTTCTAGGTGCACTGAGCGTTGACTTAGCCTTCACCAACTACAAGGAGTGCTTAGATACCTCGCATGTCAACGCCAACACACAAGCTTCTAGCATAAGGCATCTTGATCTAGAGTTGAATCTTACTTTGAGTATTTCATGCCATTCTCACTCCTCACCTGTGCATTTCAAGAATTATTTCTGCACTCATCCAGACAGTCAAAACAACTGAGTACATACCCTCCTCCAATAAGAGGAGCATCTTGAGTTGAAAGGACAGAAAAACGGTATTTGGAGTATGGTAAGTGTTGCTCAGAATGAACAATGAAATGATGACAATGGTAAAGAGGTGAGCTTTTCCACTGGGAGGAAGTAGTGAAGTTAGGTTGTAGGAAGTTTCCTCCTAAGTTTTGTGGGTCCTGGTATCTCACATGTTCTCTGTATAAACATACAGGACACAGAAGTTAATAAAATTTTCTTTGGGATTTTTTGAGTTTTTTTTTTCCTGTGGTTTGTACCCCACTTCTTTTACAATAGTGACAAGACTTCTCTGCTTTTTGCTCTTGAAACAGCACTGAATACTGCCATCTCAGTTGTGGTACTTAGCCTACAGCTACCTCAGGGCATTTCATGTAGATAGATGAGCTTGAAAGACTGAGAAGCTGTTTACAGGAGCTGAGCAAGAGACACTCTCCAAGGGACTGAAACATAGGAGGTAGGGACCAAATCCCAGAGGAAAAGCACACGGGTGGCCACACAAAGTCAACATCTACCACAGGGCAGCCTGTGGGTTCGCATAACACCCTCAGGTCCTCAACAGAGCCTGTTCAAAGCAAGAGTGCCACACAGAATTACAGCCTCTCTCTTCATTGACTGCCAACAGCACAGAGGTTGCAGATACCTCTCTGTGTAGGCCACATATCAAGAGCCTACTGTGAAACATGAGCACTATGGGGGGATGGTCATTTCAAATATCATACAGACTATGTACAAAACATTAAATGGGGTCTGGCACTTTGCAAGGAAGGGTGTCAGAAAATCTTACAGCATGGATACCAGGCATTCAGACTGAGTGTGAAGGGGATTTGTAACACTAAAATTGTCTTTCAGCAGGAAGGGGTGCTAAGAAACAAACAATCTGAGGAAAATGCTTGCATTCATTAAAGAAAAATTTAACTTTCAAAACAACAACAAAAGTCAGTCAGATCAGCTGCAAAGATTTAATTTGTTATGATTTTATGATTCTGAAATTTCAGCAAATGCCCTCAGAACTTCTGGTTCAAACAACTCACTTTGCTGAGATGGCCCCCCAAACCAGAGTTTACTTTCCACTTTGTATCTTGGGCATGCAAAAATTAGTTTTTCAATTGATTTCACTAAACTTGGATGTGGTGTTGGCTTTTTCCCTCCTCTGTTTCTTTGCTCTGTTTCTATACCACTCAATTGAAATAATTTACATGTTTTTGCTATACCAAATGCTACCTCTTTGCTGGTGTATTTCTACACTGAAACTGAAGTTAGGTCCCTGGATTTCCACATCTTCAATTACAACTCACAAGACAAAGTTCTACTATTCTTAAATAAAGCAGAACTAATTCAAGGAGCGTGTATAATTAATCAAAATAGCTAGCAGCGCAATATTTAAAATAACTGAGGCCTGCCTGGATTATAGCAACATTATTAGTATGTGATTAATAAGCAGTTGAAGTATTGCATTTGCTACACATTTGCTAAGTTATTTTATCTTGCTTTAAAGTTAGGTGGCAAAGTTTCAAGCCATAGTTAGGAGATTTGCTTTATTCAGTACTACGTTGTCAACCCCACCATCTGGTCAAACAGCTGAGGGAACTCAGACAACCATATGGGGGGCCCCATGTTTCTCTCTTGGAAATATTTGTCTTACTGAATTATGCAATGGTTATCAGTTTATAGCTAAAAAAAAATAAAAATATAAATAACAACAAAAAATCAAAATACTTTGTAGATAACCTGAGTTTGGTGGGCCTTCCAATTAGGCTTAACTTATGTAGGAAATAAGATGGCACTTACTTGAGGACCAGGCTGACCCTGAAAAACAAGAAAAATATAAGGTTACGGAAAGCTATGACAAGGATTAACTCCTTAAACAGTAGCAAATAGTTACAGTACTTTATACTAAAGAGAGAACAAACAAACCAGCAACAATAATGAAAACAGATTCCGGACTTTTAATTCTAATATTCATTTTGTAGGTTTTAAATCAAGCTTATTAACTTTGTTGCAATTAACTGATTCCAGAAATAAATGACAGTAACTCATCATTGAACCTGCATTTGAGAAAATTCATACTTTACACAGTCAGAACAATACAATTTAGAAATGATAGAAAGACCTCATTTAACTGTTCTTAAGTGAGAAAGAATCTACAGATACAATACTGATCTAGGAGTAGGTATTGGGTCCTTTTTCTCCATTATGGCCCATACCCAGGATTCAGGGAAGTGCTAATTACTGTCTACTGAATGAACAAAGCCTAGAAACTGTAGGAACACATTGCTGTGGAAACAAGACTTTTTGCAAGGAGCACAATTTCCAACAAGTATAAACTAATATTTAAACCAGAAAATCGGCAATAGATGAACCCTCGGGTGTCAGCTACAGCCTAAGAGGTAGCTTGGGAATGTACTGATCCATTTCCTCTCCCTTACTTACCAAAATCACATCTGGGACTACCTCTGCCCAAATGGAGAGACACCCACTGCAAACTGAGAAGCTGCAAGCCAATCCAGAGCAGACTTCCTATCTCTAATACCTATTCCTATTCCAGGAAATTCCTAATTCCTATTCCAGGAAAGTCAGTTAAAGTTATCAATAATTCTGGCCTACCAATTGCAAATTATTTGCATGAAGCAGAAATATATTACAAAACAGTATAGTAGCTGTGACTATGAACTACAACTACACAGACAACCAGCTCTTACTGTAAAACACAGAAAAATGTTTGTAAGTATTTGTATGTCTCTTTAAAAAGGGACAAAGTCTTAAGCTTCTAAGGCTAGTTTAGCTTGTGGTGTTTTATGGTACATCAATGAGATTTCAGCTGATTAAAACTACATTTCCTTTCGTTAAAAGTAATCAAGCATGGAGACTTCCTGCAAGTCATATAAAACCTCTCCACTTTAGCTAGAGGGCGATTTCACAGAGTTGAAAATTTTATACAGATTCCAACCAACCTGACTGGCTATGAACTAGTCATTTTCTATAAACATTTTTTCTACAACTTTCCACCTGGAAAGCAGCTTTGCAGGGAACGATTTGTGGGCCCTGGTGGACATGGGACAGCAACGTGTTCTTGCCACAAAGAAGGCTACCAGTATCCTGGGCTGCAATAAGCTAAGTATTGCCAGCAGGTTGAGGGAGATGATCCTCCTTCTCCTCTGCTCAGCATTGGTGAGACCACACTTGGAGTGCTGGGTCCAGTTCTGGGCTCCCCAGTACAAGAGGGACATATTGAACATCAGTCTGAACATGCTTCCCCCCCGTGCAGGTGACAGAGCACTGGCACAGGTTGCCCAAGAGGCTTGGAGATCTTCAAAAGCCACCCGGACACCACATGGTACTGGACAACCTGCTCTGGGTTACCCTGCTTGAGCAGGAGGGTTGGACTAGAATAATGTTACAGAGGAATCATGGTAATTGAATTACTGTGGCTATCTAATCCTTATAATGAAGGAAATGAAGGAAGCCTAAAGCATTCCTTGTCACAGATGCAGCAGTCTTGTTTAGCTCCTTATAATGTTGGTCTATATGGGTTTCTAGAAAACAAACAAACCCACACATATATACTGACTAGGGTTTGACGGTTCTAATAAAAGTATTCTAAATTGGTCAGTTCTATGAATATGGAGTATAATGAAAATGACTAGGATTCCTCTGCACTCAGCCTTTATCCCAGTCTTTCCATCACAGCAAGCTTTCAGCCATTATATGCTAAAACCACTGGAAATTGCTTACTGATGTAAAATAAATGTATAAATAGACTAAACTGAGACCTGTGCATGCAAACTTTCATACAAAAATCACAACATGTTTATCTTACAAGTGTATCTAAAGATACATTTTGATCATACACTTTGATCAATACATTTTGATCAAGTCATGAAAGTGTCTCCAAGATACACAAAAAGCTTGAAGTCTGAAATGTTTCAACAAAATGTTGATTTAAATCTGTACAGAGGAACCAAACACAGGGGAAAAAAAAAAAAAAAAAAAGGTTTTTGAAAACTGAAAAATTGACATTTCTTTCTTCACACTAACTTAGACATGGAGGCTACTCTGTGTCCATGTGGTACATGCTACGTATAAAGGACATATGCACTTAATACAAACATACCGTGATGTAAAGGTCAAGGATAACATCATGCTCTCATGCAAGCGTTTTCTACTCTCAGTCTCAACAGCACAGCCAGTCTGCCTTTTGGTTATTGTGCATTTTTAATTCTTATTTTATCAAGTCTGCAATATGGAGAGAGGAAACTATAAACTGGATTTTTATAGGACAACTGTTTTTCATGGTGACACAGTATTCTGAGGTAACGAGGAATATAATAGTTAAGTTACTCTTCATTTGTATAGGCTGTCAATCTTGTAATTTTCCAGCATTTAACTGTAAATACAGATGCTTAATACAGAAGTTTCCAAAGCAAGATCTTTTGATGATGTTGGCTATGAACTCCTTGCATCTGGAAGGAACTTTGCATTAGTGAAGGGAATTGTTTTCTCTTTTTCAGCTGTTCTCAATCCTTCATTTTTATATGCCCTTAGACACTCCTTGCCAAGCTAACTAGCAAATTCCATGACAGTATAATTTTCTTTCCTCACTTATGATGCAGTAAGTGACATTAGCCAGAGGATGCAGCAAGGACTATGTTATGCAACTCATCAGCTCTGCTGACAAAGGGGGAGGTAGAAATAGGCATCACAATACTGACGTTTTGCTTTTAAAGCTTTATTGCCACACAGCAACAATTCAAATTGTTGAAATGAAGCTCAACTGGGAGATGAACAACAGGAAATTCATTTCGCCTTCTCTCATTTTTGTATATTGTGAAAGGGTCAGGAATAAAGCTCTGAGTTACTAGCACGTTCATTAAAAAAAATAAAAATAAAAAAATCCTCGAACACAATCTAACATGATATGTCTTTGGAGCAAGCTCAATCTCAATTAATATGCTTGTGCTCCCAGGAGGGCTCCAGAATTGCTGAAATCACTCTGGACCAGTGCTATATAAACTAGTCCTAGTGCTCATTGCTTGGGGATTAAAAGGTTTTAGTTATTACTATTTCTCTTAATTTTAAATTAAAAAAAAAAAGGCTGAACATACTCTTCAAGACTGATTACTCTAACTTTAAAATAATAATGAATATCCTTAATTCAAGTATGTTATGTAATGTAAAACTGAGCATCGATTGCCTCCTGAAAGTGGATGATATTAACACATGGATGGGAATTCTGTTTTAGGTCTCAGTAAAGTTATGCAGAATTTGTATTAATACAGCTCATAGTACAGTTCGGACTTTTTTTTTTTTAAAGAGAGAGTTAATTTATGTAATTGTAGTTTCTGTGATGATTAAAGCATAATCTTCCTCAGCAAAAGACCGTGTCAACCTTTACATTAATGGGATCTCAAGGATTGCTGTATCAACCTTATTCAGATGTGTACTCTGAAGGTAGTTTTTGTCTATTCTCTAGAATCAGACCAGGTTTTAAAAATCTATCTGAGTTCCTACTGCTGAGTAGAAGGCAGAATAAGAATGAACTCTCTTGTTCTGCCATAGATACATCTCCATGGTGCTAACAGGAAGAGGAAGTTATCATAGTAAGAATGAAGAAGTAGAAAGAAACAGAAGTCAGGGATGCACAAAGAAAAGATCACCTGTTCTGAAAGAATCTAAGCTTCTGGGAAAAAAAAAAAAAAGTGCTTTATTTTGTTTTTGTAATAGGAATTATCAGGAAGAAATGGGTAGCAGACCCCAAGAAGACACCTGAAAACAATCCACAGTCCTCAGCTGTAGTCCCAGAACAGAAGTGAACATCTCCTTGACAGCACGTAGATCATATTCTTCAGCTTGGATTAGAAAACACAAGTTTTGTTTGTGTTTCTTAGTTTCATTTACTGTGTGGAAGCTCCCAACAATCTGCTCTTCTCCACATGCACTTACAGAGCTGTCCCAACACCAGTAACTGGTCAGCTGAATTCAGTTTACCTTCATTAAAACAGTAGGTACAGCTGCATGTTCTCCCATGGTTTCAGCAAAATCTTCATAACACTTTTCTCTTCTATATTCATATTTACTAATTAATATGTTATTTGGCAGGAAAGAAAGAGGTTAAATTTGTCATCCTACTCTTTACCTTAACTGAAGGTCTTTTACAGCTGATTGTTAATCACTTCCTTGCAATTTAACCCAATATTAGCTGCTGATATGTGAATGATACTGAAAGAAGAAAAAGATATATGGTGTAGGCAGGTCGAGCTCAAGTCAAGAGGTAAACTATTAATCTGCTAGGAGAGTGGATTAAAGAACAAGCCTATTGACTGGAGGCTATAAACATTGCAGAAATGTTACTTTGCAGTAGACAGAAGCTTCAAGAGAATAGGAAAAATTCTTAATGAAAGAAAAGGGAAGCTGACAATGGAAGCTGACACTGCAAGTTAATAGTTGAGCTTGCAAAGGAAATGGGCTTGTAGCAAATGAAAGGACAGAAAAGATATATTCAAGGCACCAAAGAAAAAGGTTGTCCTGGAAAAGGAGAAAGAGAAAAGGAGCAAGAAGAATAGCACAAGGAAGTACAGAAACTGTACTTGCACACCTTTTGCATGATTTAAATCTTTAAAGAGCTAGGAACATAAAAATTCCAGGCTCATACATCCAAATCACTTTTATCTACACAAATATATATATATATATATAGTGTTTTTATATATATATATATATAGTGTTTCACTTCATTATATATATAAATTCATATATATATATCTATGTATAGTGTCTCACTTGCAGAAACTCATACATGAGAAACTGTTAGCAGCTGAGCAGAATGCATTGTATAAAATTAAAGGTCATTTCTAACTTATTTGAAGTAGCATCTCCCTAAACAATATCTAGGATAGTATATAAATGCATTTAAAATGGGCTATATCATCAGCCAGCAAAATCCAGGCAGAGAAACAAAAACACAAGAAGGAAGGACCTGCAGGAAAAGGAATCAAGAGCCACAAATATGTTGTCAGAAGTAATATCCTACCATGTGAGGAGCACTACCAAACTACCCTTGTGGGATGTTCTCTGGACCTGTCCTCCAACCTAACCCAGACAGAAAATGATATGGGAATAGGAGTAGCATGCCTGGTCTCTGTTTGCTGGGAGAGAGGCAAAAGACACAAGTGGCTTTTCGGCACTCCTGAAGTCTGTGTTACACAGATTGAAATAAGTTACGCCGAAGCAAGCCAATATGTGATTAATATACATTTCTGCATGAGCATTTCAAAAAGCAAAGAAGGAATATGTGCAAGACCTAAATTACACTGGTTTTGAACAAATCACCTACCAGCTTTCCATCCATACCAATCGGACCCTAGGATAATCAAAAGCCAAAACAAAATGGAACAGTTAAAATCAGCGGAACACTGAAGTTGAGGAATATATACAGACTCAGGGAATACTGCAGGCTTTAGAAGACAATTAACTATGTCAGCTGTTAAGTGCAATACCTTAAAAATACTTTAAGAATGAAGGCACAGAGATGAAACAACAAAAGGAGCAGACCTAAGACAGAAGAAATAAAAATAGTATGATGCAAAGTAGCCAGGCAATAGCTGGTGTTCAACGTGCAGTGAAGGATTTGTTAGTTTGGCAAGCCACAGTGGTACAACATAACCAAACATATGAAATAATGCATCTGGCTTGAGTATTTTTCTTTAAATAAGAAAATGAAATAGGTAGCCTATTTTCTGAATGATCTTCATCTTCACATGGCTGCAAGATGAAAAGAGCAAACACTTAAAATCTCGTAACTAATCTGTATTTAAATGCATATTGTAATAGTGATGTTTAATAAGAAACATCAGTTCACACAATTCATTGAGTTACTAAAGAATTCCCCCTATACTTTGGCCTGTACACCTTATCCTGCTTTCCTTCCTGCCCCTTCCAACAGAAAACACTGAACTTCCTCACTGATACTTTAAAAGTTATTTGTTTCCTTTACTATGCAAAGGTGGGTTCCAGTTATTTAGATGCAAATTCTAGAAATGATTTCATGTGCATGCACCCTGTTGCAAATCAGTAGCCGATGCTGTACTAACTGCATATTTAGGTGATCAGATTGGGGCTTGAGAAAGTTGGAGTAATTGTACACTGGGTGTTTAATGTCTATACCTTCTGAAAATGAACAGACAAGTTATCTTTCACCGGCAATAGGACAAGAACAGGCAAAGAAGTTGTTTCTGTTATTGAAGTCGTCATTAGACAGAATCTCTGAGCTTTCAGTTGTTTGCCCCATGCAAAAGGGACAGTTTTCTCCTAGATGCTGGCACTGCAGCCAGATTTTCACCCAGAGCTTGACAGTCTCTCACGCAAACCACATTCCCTAAGCACATGGCCACTTGGGACGGATTGCTCACACAGCTTGATTTGGATCACTGTTGCTTGGAAGACAGCAAACAGTTGGATCCATTTTACCCTTGCTGCCTTTTGTACCCTTTGTCAGCCCTAGGCTTTCCTTGTGAGCAAAACTCCAAGTGTAAATAGTTTAGCCTAAATCAGGTCTGCAGTGCTTCTACTCACCCCTTCAACCAGGAGTGTGTATTCTTACTTTCTACACTAATACCGACAGTCGCATTCAACAGTCAGTCCAGCAGCTATCAAGAAAGTAATAAATGCTAAGACAAAGTGATGTGGTGTCAATCTAGTGAGTTCCCAAGTTATTCACTCTCTCCCAGTCTAGACCATAGGCTTTGCTGGAAAGTCCAGACATCTACAATGAAAGAGTACATCAGCTGGATGTACACTCTGTGAAATTCATGATTTTGGTACCTTACTGGCTTTCTAAGAAGCCTTTGCACTAACCTGCTTGTCTGTTCCAATAACAAGTTGCTGTGCCTGGGCAGCCCTACAGGAATAACCTTACCTCTCCTTCCCTTCAGTTCTTACTGTGGTTTCCTGTCACAGCGCAGAGTAAATGACATGCTGAGAACACATAAAGCAGGTCACCAGTGCCTTGGTTGTCTTCATGACCACTATCTTTGTCAGGGGCTGATATCCTGGGAAATTTTGTGAGTGCTCAGATGGCCTTCAAAATCTTTCTAACTTTCTCTCTAAACCAATTCTTCCCTGATACCCAAAAACAATACATTTTCCAACATATTAACAGAATAGCTTTTATTAGGATGCTTCCTCGGATGCTATTTATCACGTACTTGTAGCTCACAAACACATATATGGCACTTACCAATTTTCTCACAGTTATTTAGCAAACTTCTAAATGTTACTGTACACCCCAAAAAATGAGGCAAATATACAAATTATTAGCTTTCTCAAATTCTTCTAGCACTGTATTACATTATATTTATCTAGTATTATTTACACAGCCCGCTACAGGTGCAAAACCAAAGGCTAAGCTCAAGCTATGAATACATTTACTTCTAAAAAGCAAACTACAGATATTACCAATGAAAACTCAACAGTAAGGTTGCTGTAAGTATATAAAGTTCCCCAGAGGGCTGTGTAGGCCAGCAGCAAAATTTAGTCTCCTGCAAGCTTAGCCGAAAAGATTTCATTATTTACATGTATGATGAATGAATACAGAAAATACTTACATAAGTATTTGTAGAAGGAAAATTCATTGTGGGGTCAAACTGCTGGTTTAGAGGGAGCAGCCAAAAGCTCTTGTAGCTGTAGCAGTGTTTTGTATTTTGCAAATAATTGCTGTTTTCAATGAAAGTTTATCATAGAAAACAAACAAAGAAAACTATTTGGTATTTTTGTGCTCCCTTACTGATAGGCATATTTGGTAGTGTTAATTTTTATTTTGTTCTCTCTTTATCCATGCTACATAGCTTGTGCTCTTGAATTAAAGCCTATATGTAGCATCTCGGATATTCTCAGTAAAGAAGAATCAGAAATTTCCAGTAAGCTGAAGAGAAACACCTGCTCATAGCTGAAAATGATAACAATTTCCCTCCCTTCTTTCCATTTGTATCAGGACTATTTGGTCTTCAGGCTGGGAAAGTCTTCTGGGATTCCCTTTATAGAACAAAAGACAGACACATACTGCCCTACAGGAGAACAAAATCCCTTAAGTTAAGGGGTCATTACTGTGAAATTAAATAATATTCTTTCACTATTTAAAAACAACAACAACAAAAACAGGTCTTTAACTGCAAAACAAAGTAAAATGAATTTGACCATCTCCCAAGCTGCACACCTCATAGTTCAAATAGCTTCCTGCTTTATTCACTGAATTGCTGCTACTATAGGTTAGTATGTCATTTCTGAGAAAAAAAAAGAAAAAAAGAGAGAGAGAGAGAGGAGAGGGGAATGGAAGGAAAGGGAGAAAAGGGGAGCATGGTCTTCTATAACACAACTCCTGTAAAACATTTCAAAAAACTAGAAAATACACCACAAGACAAGGAGATGAGTATTCTTATACAACAGACACATCCACCAGCCTCACATAGGAAACAGAGGTGGCATTGAAAATGTTTCTTCTGGACTATGCTTTTCCTTTCTAGGTTTTCACTCCCATTTTTAAAAATATATGCTATTACTGAATATTCACTTATGGTATTAGACATTTTCCAGGATTTTCAAATGCAAAGTTGCTTACACAATAATTTTGGTGTCGTCCCCCTCCCCCCCCAAGAATACACCACTATTTTCTCAGCTTTAACTACTTATCTAATAATCCTTAAATGGACAGGGACAACATGCGGGAGGAAGGAGAAAAAAAAAAAAGGGTTATTCTAGAGGTAAACATTTTAAGGATTTTAGGGAGTTATCGTTAGAAATCGAAAATGTCAGCAGACATACCAGAAACCTTTAGATCTTTCCTATCAAAAAGATGGCCAGTAATATTACTTGAAGCAGCTTTACTACAGCCTTTGTTTCTTTAGAAAATTCTGAGTGAAAAGTGAAGATAAGAAAAAGATATCACGTGAAATCTATTATGGAATAAAAGAATTGTTCAAAGGAGTACAGAAAAAAGCAGAAGATTTGGATTATCTTCTTCCTTCTGCCTTCTCTATTTGTGCTTCAGTCATCCTTTTCAGCTAAGGAATACCCATCAGAAGACTGCATTCTGAAACAGAAGATACATACTACACAGAAAACAGATATCACCTCTTCTTTAGGAGCTGCAGATCATCCTTTATATAAATACATCTGGGGGTGGGCGGGGTTGATTTAATTAATAAATTGGATCAGCATATTTTAGCAGTGATTAATTTTCCTAGGTTTATATTCATTTGAAGCATGCAGAAAAAATGTATTCGTTGTACTTCTGTGGGAAAAATCAGGAAAAATTTTGACACTCCAGATTAGTCCAATTCTGTGTTTATATATATATGTATAAATTAAAAACAGGCCAATTATCTTCAAATGCATAACCATTTCTCAGACTTTGATAGCTCACCGTTTTTCCTATTTTATGAGAAATCAAGTATTTTTGAAAAAAAAATAAATCTCTCTTGCAATGTAGACAATAGGTAAATTATTATTTTTTTAATCCTCTAGATATATCTTTTTAGATATCTGACAGCTTTAAAATATATTTTTTGACTATCACTGTAGCATTTCAGAATTCAGAAACTCTTGTCCTGATTAAGTTGCAGGACTAAGTTATTACATATTTCTAAACAATCTGCTGCAAGCTTGATTGTTAAATTGTTACTTGCAGCTGCTTGAAATCTCTTATGCAAAGACATATACAATAACAGGTATCAAGGATTCAGAAGAAAGCTAAAATTTAGCTTTACAGCACCTGTATCAGCTGCATCTCAGTTACTGTGTCTGAGTGAGTCTAAAAACACCTGTGTGGAAAAAAAATCAATCAGTATCAAAGCAGGTTTACAAATGGTACCCAGGTTCAGGTAAGGTGAAACATAACACATTGTCTTTTCAAATCACCTATTTTAGTTAAAGATTGATAGAAAAATCAGAATTGTCAGATTTCCTCATCATGATACCATTCAAAGTGATGGATAAATGCTATTTCTTCCCCACACCCTTCTACTCTTTGGTTAGTTATGGGTTTAACAAGGCTGACTTTAACTAGATGCTGTAAGATAATTCCCTAGCCCTAGCGAGTCTGATGAGATTTCTCTTCAGTGAAACTTTGTTTTAGAGTTCATGTGGGCAAAAAGTAGGATGAGCTGTTCAACTTGCTAAATTTCTTTGACTGATGAAACATTATTGGTTCCTTTTTGATGACTGGAAGTGATTGCTCTCAAGAACAGTGTGAGTGAAAAGCCCGGGTAAAGAAATCACTTGTCCCAACCCTGGGAGAAAAAAGTGCATTAAATCAACCTGCAACAAGTCTGGCCAGCAATCAGAACATTACTGATAAAAGCAAATAAT